TGGTGACTGTGGTTGAATTGAAGGTATTGAATGAAGAGATGATGAACTTGGTGATGACAGTGGAGATGAAAATAACATTGTATTAGCTGAAGGCTGATTATTAATATTGAGTTGAAGAGCTTGATTGCCAGTTTTGTTATGATTATGAATATAGTTGATTTCAGCGGAACAAATCAGACTACTTATTTGATGTTGAAGTATTGTCTTTGTGTGTTGATCAAATAATTCCAGTTTACTAGCAACATACTCCCCGAAAACAGTATTGTCGCTCTTCACTTTTGGTGTTTGCCTTTTATTGGAAATTTCTTTTATTATTTGATACGTTTCTGCTATTCTAGGGTCTTCTTGAACTTTTTTTCTTTTTAATCCTGTGGGTTTTTGGGGTGAAACAAAAACTTTTTCTTTTTGAGGTTGTTCTTCATTTGTGTCACGTTCTCTATCATCTTCAGTTAGATCTTCGACGATTTCAATAGCTTCACGTGGTTCATCATGTTCTTTGTGTGTGGCAGATGGCTATAAAAATAAATTATAAACATTACGCAAAATTAGTTTTCGATTTTTCGATTTTGTTTTTTGGTATAACTCAAAAAAGAACAACCCTTGAAATATTAACCTAAAGTTTACTTTATCTTATTCATGCAATTTAGTTTTTTTGGTTTTGTAAATTAAAAGTCGTAAGTCACGTTATTTTTATACGCACTTTAAGATAATATTTTTATGTTATCCATGAAAATTGCAAAAATTTGCGAATTCCCGATTTTTTCTATAAATGACAATAAAAAAATATTTGTTAGGTGAAAAAGCTTGAAATATAATAATAATAATTTGTTATAATAGTAATTAAAAAATATTGAAGAATCGTAAACGTAACCACGATTTTTTTTATAAAAATGTATAGTTCAAATTTTTACAAAATGTATCAAAATATTGAGAATTTGCAAATCATTTTGTAATTAAAAATTTATAAAACGCTCACGTTTCTAGATACCAAAGACCCAAGAAGAGTGGTTGAGCGTTGGAAAAAAATATGAAGATTTATGGAATTTCCCTCATTGCATTGGTGCAATTGATGGGAAACATGTACAACTACAAGCACCAATTGGTAGTGGAAGTAATTATTTCAATTACAAATCAACTTTTAGCATTGTATTGATGGCAATTGTTGATGCCGATTACAATTTTTTGTATGCTGATGTCGGTTGCCAGGGCCGAATATCGGACGGCGGAGTTTTTCGAAATACATCATTTTTTAAACAGCTTGAAGAACAAAAGCTAAATATTCCACCAGCAGAAAAATTAATTGGACGGGAAAAGGCTGTACCATATGTCTTTGTAGCGGACGAGGCATTTCCGTTAAAAGAGAACATACTTAGACCTTACCCCGGCTCTCATGAAAAGGGATCGGCCAAAAGAATTTTTAACTACCGTTTGTCTAGAGCCCGACGAGTAGTCGAAAATGTTTTTGGTATTCTATCTGCCGTATTTAGGGTATTTAGAAAACCTATGCTACTTGAACCCAAGAAGGCCGAGCTTGTAGTTATGGCGTGTGTATACCTACACAATTTTCTTAGAAAAGAAAAGTCATCGAGAGATATTTATTCACCAACGGACTTAATTGACCACGAAATAGAAGGGCAACTTGTCCGAGGAACGTGGAGAGAAGACATACAGAGTAACAGTGCATTCACTCCTATGGAAAGGGTTGGAAGAAGATCACCACGTTTCATCGAAGAAAATCGAAACGAATTTGCCGAATATTTTTCGAGCGTTGGTGCTGTGCCATGGCAATCAAAAATAGCATAGTAATCAGCAATAGTTACATAGAATTTACTAGTAATATTATTATTAGTGCCTATTGGTTAGTAGTAAGTAGCTATTAAAAGTAAAACAGCAGTTGATTGTGATTATAATCGCATGATATATTTATCAATAAAAAAGTTATTTTTTTTCGTTTAACATTTATTCATTATTTTTTATTGAAAACCTATATAAAGAAAGATATAAAAAAAGTTATTATTATTTAGACATGTTTTTAAAGAACGACGTATTTCGGATTTTTTCTTGGTAATCGTTATCTTGCCGACTATAGAAAAAATGTGTTTTTATCGACAATAAGTTCCCTAGTAATCCGGGTCTATTATTCTTCGTACCAAGAAAAAGGTCAATAAAATTGTCTGCTGTTTAAAAAACGTATACCCAAATGAATATAAATATAATAAAGATAGCTAATGTTATGTATTCAATAAGATCTATACATATTATTACAGTATTATTTTGTTTATATTAATAATCTTGCTTAGGAGTAGTTATAAATACATATTTTAAGATACAGTTATTTAGGATTTTATGAAGCTATTTAATATAATATAATGTATAAATATCAAAATTATTAATATTTTTATTAATTACAAACAAGGACCAATCAAGTATAAATAAAAAAAAATACTCACATCAATAGTATCTTTGGTAATCCGAGGTTTAAATTTATCATTCAAAAACTTCATTTCCTCAAACGCAAACCATTTTGAATGATAAATCTCATCTGTTCCAGCTCCTGAACGTCCACTGCTGGCTTCCAGTTGCCTTTCTCTTCGGAAAGAAGCTAAAAGGCTGTCCATCTTTTTCCTCACTTCATTTACATCTAACTTAAGTTCTTTGCTTATTTCCGTCCAAAAATCTAATTTTTTCTTGCCCATTTTATATTGAGGATCAGTAGGATCCCAAAGAATCGGTCTCATTTTATATAAGTGTATTAATTGTAAGCATACTTCGTCAGTCCACTCCATAATTACGAGTCAGTAATAATTAAAACCACAAAAAATTTAATCAAAAAACAAAATACACACTTTTTATTAATTAACCGTTCAGACGGAATAGTGACGAATACGCGATACGAGCCGAATGCCGTTTAAACTGAACAGGGAGTTTCTTTGATCGTACCGCTCTTGGGGCGAACGGTTCCGAACGCGAACGAATGCGTTCGTTCGTGTTCGGTANGTTAAATAATTGCTGCTCTTCAATATCTTCTTTGTCAGATAATTGCTGCTCTTTATGGTCTTCATGTTCTTCTTTGTCAGATTGATTATCTTCGTCTGATATTGCTTCGTCCACACTTATGTTGATTTCATCCAAACTCATGCCTCTATAATGATGGCCTTCTCCTTTTTCCATTAACAAAAGGAGCTTACTCACTTTAGCAACCTAAAAATAAAAATATAGCTATAAATGTATTTTAATTAACATAAATTATGTTTGTGTACAGTATATACATATAGGCGTATTATACTATACCCATACCATATACACAATTATTTTTCAAGTACCTATATAATATTATATCCTTAAATACATATTAATATATTATGCTCATAATAGTGTTGCATACACTTTACTTTATAAAATAACAAATTTGTATTGTAATATCGATAAAAAAAAATGTCAACTGTTAAAATTATTAATATACTATAAATAAAATAATATGCATATATGATAATATGCTATTGTGTTAATGTTTCAGTAGGAGTTGATAGGTATTTAAAATTATTTACCTGGAAAGCACTTTCGGAAAGTCTGTAAAAGTTTTTGTGGACATCCTTGGAGTGTCCCATGAAGGTGGCAAGTTGTTCGATGTCTCCTTCCGACATGTTTAACAGCTGAGCCACAGTAGCTACATGTTTGCGGAGGCGAGTAGATGTAATATTTTCTGGGTTTTTGGCCCCACATAGCTTACTGTATTTTCTTATTACATCAGAGGCCCTCAAACAACCAAGTGACTACGGTAAAGGAAATAGGTAAATATTTTCATTTTCAATGAAACTTACAGTTTTTCTCAATTCTATGAGATAATTTAAACTCTTTTGTAACTGTGGTGTAAATAGAATTGGCACACCTCTTCCACGTTTACCACGTATTACAACTCTTTTAAAACTTTCTGTCAATTTAAGTTCTACAGGAGATAATGCTAGTTGAATTTCTTCTTGGGAAATTTCAGATTCTGCATTAGTATAAGTATCAAGTGTTAAACGTTGTACCTCACCAGCTCTTCTTCGATTGAGTAACACTAGTTGTGCTAATACACTTTCTTGGAGGTTTCTGTAGAATTGTACATTACTGGGATTTGTTTTCAAATTACTATAAGACTCCTTTTCTAATTTTACAATACAATCTTTAAATAATTTTATATCGGATGTTAATGGTAATAAGGCTGGTTTATTCCATTTCCGTTGGTACATCAATTTGCATGCATTAGTCGATAGTTCATGTGACCATTCTTTTTCAATGATATATTTGAGGTTGTTGATAGATTCTTTCTGTATGTTATGTGCCTCCAAAGGTGATAAATCACTCTGTTTTAAAATAATGCATTCAGCTATTTCACAGCATTGTTTTAATGACTGACCTAATTTTAAAATAACTGACGGGGATTTGAAACTGTTATTTTCAACACTATACCCAGCTACCTGTTTTGAACATTTTATGATCGAATCAAAATACTTTGGCGACAAACAGTCTTGCAATGTATTTATTGTTGTAACTTCTAATCTCATACACATCAAAAATCGTGCCAAAAGTCTCATTTTTTGAGACACTACATTAATTAAATGTTTTTCTTTATGTGATTTTAGATACCTTGAACCAAATTGTTTAATAAGTTCATCTGTTTTTGCAACTAATGATATATCATCAGTAGCCATTCTTGAAAATACATTGTTTACTAAATCATTATCACTATCATTGAATACAAGCAACATATTTTGTCCTGCAGCCATAGCACTAACTTTACTTGCATGTGTTTCTTTATTATTTTTACATATCTTCATATGTCTAAATAGATATTTCTTCTTGAACATTCCATAGCAAAATTTACAGGGCAAATAATTGTTAGCGCAAGGGATTCCTTTTGATTCATTAGGGCGACGAACAGGTTTTACTTTATTTCCTCCAACGTTACTTAAAAAATTTCCTTTCTTCCTTAAGGTGTCTGCTTCAAATTTTCGCTCCTTGGATCCTTTTGGTAATGATTCATATTTTGCTACTTCTATTTCATCTTTATGTTTACGTAAAATATGTCGGGTAAAATTAGTGACGTCTTTTTCACAATATACACAATGGTCAGTTTTATCCCACGCTCGTTTATTCAAAATACTTTTTTTTTTACTCGTTTCTACACTACCATTAAAGTTATAGGGTTTGCAATTTTTTGGCAATATTGATAAGTTACTTCTATTTAATATGTTTTTTTCTCCAATGGTACTAGAATTATCAATTTCTTTAACCTCTTCAATAAACTCTTCAATTCCTGAGGAAACTGATGTGTTGTTGTCATCAATGTCTTTAAAACTTTGGTTTTCTTTAAAAGGTATGTACTCAGATCCTGAATCTACATACAAATCTTCGGAAGAACAATTACTTATAACATAACTTTGAGTTGCTTTCTGATTATAACGTAAACCTGTTGAAAATATTAAACCACCAATATGAATAATAATTTTAATTATGTAAAACCTGAAGTACTATTTAATTTTATGATATAAATTAAATTACATTTACCCGGATATCTATTATTTATGGACATGGTACTATCAGGCTCGATATTTAAAAACTGATTAATCTTGAAATATGCTACAAATTAACACCAAAATTGTTTTAAATATTTATTTATTTAAGTGTATTATTATTAATTATATAATATAATATAATATTTTACCTTCCTCTGTAACTAACGGATTATTTAATTCACTACTCTGGGATTTATTTTGTTCTTCAATAAACTCTGACGCTATATCATATTGAATGTTGATCAAATTTTGGTCAAATGTTTCAACTATTATCAATATAAAATAAAAATAAAACAAAATTAATGTAACTATTAATCGTACAAATAACTTAATATTCTGTTTACCTGGATTAATGATATTTTCTTTTTCTACCAATGTTGCACCATCACCCATGTAACTTAAACACGTTTTGTTTTGTTCGATATTGTCATAGACATCAATGGCTTTATCAACAATTGTATTGTCTTGTACAGTTGCAAAATCATAATCTTCATTCAAAGTGTATGCTGTATCACAGACAACTAATAAAAAAAAAAAAAAAATGTAAATTAGGTAACATAATTGAGATTAATAATAACTTGGTGTCCTCAAAATTATATAGTACTCAATTTACCTGCACCAGCATTAACAATTTTTTCTTTTTCTACCAATTCTGTACCATCATTCAAGAAACACTTTTTGCTTTGTTCGATATTGTCATGGACTTCATTGGCTTTATCAACAATTGTATTGTCTTGTACAGTTACAAAATCATAATCTTCATTCAAAGTGTATGCTGTATCACAAACAACTAATAAAAAAAAAAATGTAAATTAGGTAACATAATTGAGACTAATGATAACTTGGTCCTCAAAATGGTTTAATTCTGTTTACTTGGATTAATGATTTTTTCTTTTTCTACCAATGCTACATTTTGTATTGAAATGGTTAATTTATTCGATTTATTTTTAATTTTGATTTTTTTTTGTCCTTTTTGAAGTGAATTAATATAAAATTGAACATCTTCTTTAGCTTAAAATTATTAAAAGTAGAAAATTAAAAATATTGTATTATGCACTTATAAGTTATAATGTAATTATGAAAATGTATATTTACTTCCTCGTTTCAATAATTTTGCCTTGTACTTGAATCCATCAGACCATTTAATCATTGTATAAGTACCAATTTTTTTACTTCTAAGTATCGGAGATAAAGGGCACATATACAAAACACCATCATCTTTAAATTGAACACCAATCCATTCTAATTATAGTAAGAAATAAATAAATTTAATATTATATTTGAAAAAAAATATTTATTAACCTCCAACAATATTATATTCAGTATCAGATTTTCCATTATGCAGGGTATGCACTATGCAATGTGCATAGGAACGAGGCTCACAAGATATATGTGGCCGTTAGGGTTTCTAACTATTTTTAAGTAACTGTTATTATAATTTTTTAACTTCTAATACCCAATTTGCCAAAAAAATATATTTGATGTTAAAATAATATCATTACTACCAGTGTCGGTCTGGCCCACCCGGCTACCAATGGGCAATGGATCGCCCAGCCAAATGGGAAAGGAATAATAAAAAAATTTAGGTACTTGCGATTTTCACAAATTTCTTAATGCAATCAATATTGTTCAATATGACAATATATCCTTGATGAACTACTATACAAAAGTGAATTTTATAGACCCATAGTGGCATGATCTTAGTGACAAAATTATAGAAGTATAATAATATAATAATTAAAAAATGAGCGAGTTATTCCCAGCGAAACGTTACAAAAATCATGGTCTTATACAATTTACTTGCGCGGTTATTAGTGGATACATTGGCATAGGTAGTTAAATATTATAAAAATGTATCTTACCTTTACAGTCATCATTTATTTCGTTAAGTATTTTTTTCTTTCTTGTTAACATCATAAATAAATAGTGTACACTTGAACAATGAACACTGGTTACAATAAAAGAATAAAATAACAAATTTCACACTCGGCACAGTTCACTGAAGACTGATGAGTGATGGGACTATTATAGTCGTAATAAACAATAAAGAGTATAGTCCTAATCACACTGCAGTTCATAGAATAATGAAATAGTTTTAATGCACTTCTATAATACGAGATACGAGTGTATTGAATTGGGGAATTTTGATTATACACTGTTAGTTCGCAGGGTTGCACACTCGTGGTGCAGAAATAGACAGACGAATCGACACGACAAAATTAATATCTTGACGCCGATAAGTAGTAAGTGACGTCATGTTTTGGTAATACCCAATGGCCAATACTGTATTATATCGACGAACGATAGACCAAGTTTACCACTATTACATTATGACGGGAAATTGCTCAATATACACTGCATCTATACTAGTAACAGTTATTTATAA